CCCTGCCATGGGCAGGGAACCTTCCAGAGCCCAGGGTGCTCCAGCACTCCCAGAGCCTGTGTGGATCCTCTCTCCATCCTGGCTGTGTTTTGCAGGGAGATCCCCCATGTCCCAGAGGTTGAGGGGATGCTGGGGGGTTTCCTTCCCTCCTGGATCATCCATCTCTAACTTGGGGAAGTCAGGCTGGCCAAGGACCTGACCTGGCCAATCCCTGAGCACGGCTGAGCGGTCACAGTGGGGCTCACCCAAAGGCTGCACTGGATTTTGGAGTCCTTTTCCAAGTTCCATGATTCCCTGGTGCTGCATGGACACAGCTTCCAGGGAAGGCCCAGGAGCTCTGAGCTGTTTGTAGCAGCCCAGGGAGGCTGCAGAGCCCATCTGGCCATGGGGACAAAGCTCCTCAGACAACTCCAAAAGGGATTTAAAGATTGGATTTACTGAAAGAGGGATTATGGAGGGCTGGAGTCAGCAGGAATTTGTGCCTTTAGGGTGACATTTAGGTTTTGGGGAAATGCAGCTTGGATCAGGTTCTCCCTTTCTGCTGCTGGGGCTGGCAGAGCATCGTTAAAGTTGGGATAATGAGGGTTTTTATTAATGGGAATGTTCCAGAGGCTTTGGCAACACGCCTGGGGTTTCACAAACGTGAAAATAAATGGGAAAAAGAGCAGCTTCCCAGTTTTACATCCAGAACAAATGAAGTACAGCATGGCTGGCAGGAAAAATCCCAATGCAGATACCAGATCTGCTGTGACCCCTCATTATCTCACATTTCCCACACATGAGGAGATAGGAGCTCCCATCACACCTGAGAATTCCTTTAGCAGGTGAGCCTGGCTCCTGCAACTGCTTTGCCTCCTCGGGAATTCAGAGTAGGAGATGCCTCCAGGATTTTCAACCTTTCCCCCCTCATTTGACATCTCTTGGGATAAACTGATAATACTGATCTTAAATATTGGTGTATTTTTGCCCACCTCCTGCTGGGAGGCAGAGAGAGAACCTGGCTCTCCTTCCTGTGATTCCCAGCCTGCGTTCCTGCCCCCATCGCTCCCACTGTGCTGTGATGTCCTTTAGCTCAGGCAGCTCTTTGCCTTCCCAGATGTATTTTTAGATTGCAGCCTCCTCTCCTTTCACCTTCCTGCTGGCAGGATGAGCAGGATGAGCAGGATGACCTCTCCACATCCTCCTCTGCTGGTGCCAGGACACAGGAATGGCTTCCCCCTGCCAGAGGGCAGGGATGGATGGGATGTTGGGAATTGGGAATTGTTCCCTGGGAGGGTGGGGGTGCCCAGAGCATCTGTGGCTGCCCCTGGATCCCTGGCAGTGCCCAAGGCCAGGTTGGACACTGGGGCTGGGAGCACCTGGGACAGTGGAAAGCATTGGAACAAAATGGGCTTTAAGGTCCCTTCCATCCCAAACCATTCCTTGATTCTCTGATTGTCTCTTCCCCTCATCCTGCCTGGAGCCTCTTCCTTGCCCCTTCCTGGCTCCCTGCATGCAGAATTATCCAGAATTATCCCTCTCATCCCTCAGGTGGGACCCCCTCAGCAGCTGGAATTCAAACCAGGCTTTCCCTGGCACCAGCAAATGCTGACACAGCAAATCCAGCCCTGCTGAAGCTCCAGCTGCCTTGACCAAAACATCATGAATATTCATGAGGTGATTAATTAACGTGTCCCTGCTTTAATAGCTCCTCATGAAATTCTGTGCCATGCCAGGGGCTGGCACCCGGGTGGAAGTGTCACTTTAAGGTATTTTGGAACAACCTGGCCAGGAGTGAACACGTCTGAGGACTGCAGTGACCCCAATCAGCTCCCCATGGCTGTGATGGTGATTAGTACCCATAATTAGAAATTCTCCAGGAGGGTCAGGCTGTGCTGCAGAGCTGGGATGGTGCAGGAAGGAATTTCCAGCTGTGGGATATTCCAAGTTCAGCAGCCCCCATTGTTCTTTGCACTTACACAAAGCTTAGTGGCAAAACTGTGCCTCCTGTGGTTGGAGATGCCCTCCAGGAGACGACATCCCTTGGGAAGAGGGAGATGGGAGCATTTGTATGGATGGAAACAACGTGGGAAATGCCAGGAATGTTTCCTCCCTGTCCATTTTCCTTCCCCTGCCAGGACATGGGATGCTGGGTTACCCAGATTATCCACACTGCCTCCAGAGGGATCCCTGGGCTGAGCTTGGGGAAGCCTTTCTGGGGTTTCTCTGAGCATTCCCAGTCTGGAGTGAAGAAAGCTTTGAGATCCCAGCAGGATGGGGACTGCAGAGGGAATATCTGCAGTGGGGGTGGGGTGGGTGCTGGATTTATCCCAAATTCTTACCTCCAGTTGCTCACCCTTTCCCACTCAGCATTTCCAGCTCATTCCTGCAGGATGCTGGAAGTGCCAATGCTCTGAATAATCCCAAAACCATTAGAGGAGAGCAGGGACAGCAGCTCCTTCAAGGGCTGTTAAACACAGGGCTGTGCATCCAGCTCGGGGAGCTGCTGGATCATGGGATCCTGGGAGCTGCCAGGGAATCCTGAAGGTACCAGAACTCTGGGCTTGCTTTTGATCCCAAGCATCTGCCACTGGCCACTGTCAAAACTCATCACTCATCCCCCAAAACTGCAGGAAAAGGTGAAGGGGTTCTGTAATGTGGAGTTAAATGAGGAGTGCTGGACCAGGACTGGTTGAACCTCATTAATTGATGTGTTAATTACCTGTGGATATCTAGGCCAGCCTGGACTGTGAGCTTCCCTTGGAGAAGTTTTACAAGAGGATCTCCAGCAGCTTGGGGGAGAAGAAAACCTTCCTCAGTGCTTGTGGAAGCTGAACTGGTGCTGTCCCCTTTGTGAACATCCCCTCGAGTGCAGTGGAAGGTAATGAATGAATCAATTAATTAATTAATTAATGTCTTTGTTCCACTCGGAGCGCTCTGAGCTTTTTGCAGTGTCCCTGTCAGTGAAAGGTGAATCAATTCAGGCAGTGAATGAAGGTGGTGGGACAGGGTGAGGTGGTGTCTGGAGAGGGGAGCAGCAGGGGCTGGGTTTGGTGTCTGGGGCGCAACCATTGATTGATCCACTGCCCATGGATACACGGAGCCAGGCTGGGAATAAAAACAAATTATCTCATTTCCAGGAGTCTCTGGTCTGGGGAGATGAGTGTTGGTAACACCAGAGCAGGAGCCTGGCGACACCCCCTCATCAAAGAGTAAATAAATTCGTGAATATAAAATGTATTTTATATATGCATTATTTGCATGAATATTTAACTCTACAACAGATGACTTTCAGTCCATTTCATAGAAAAACACGGGTTTGGGTTGGAAGGGACCTTAAGGACCATGGACAGGGACAGCTCCCACTGTCCCAGGCTGCTCTGAGCCCCAGTGTCCAGCCTGGCCTTGGGCACTGCCAGGGATCCAGGGGCAGCCCCAGTTTCTATGGGAATGGGTGCCAGGGCATCCCCACCCTCATTATCAAACCCTTCTTCCTTGTGTCTAATTTAAATCAGAGGAGTTTCTAATTTAAATCAAGGAGTTTCTTCACCTCTGGAATTTGTCCCAGCTTTGTGTGACACATCAGGATGGCTCAGCACACAATCCTGGACACATGAGCAAGGAAAATCCCAACCCAGCCCCATTGTCTGTTTTGTCCCTCTTGCAAAGCTGACCCTTTATCCCACACCCATCTTTCTCTGCCCCATTCCGTGATCTCATTCCACCTGTTGGACTCCCCCCTCGACCTCAGCGGGCCCTGATTTGAGCAGGGCTGCTGAAATGGCCTCACCAAAGGGCTCTGGCCATCCCCACCCCACAGGTATGTACCCAGGTAGGGTGCCCCTAAGCAGGGCTTAATGTGCTCTGACTCCATGATTCCAGAAGGCTGAACCAATGCTTAATTGAGCTATACTGTATTACTCTAATACTACACTAAATTACATACTAAAGAGATACTATACCATACTAAAATGATACTGTACTACTAAGGTACTAAAGAAAAACCCGTGACTGTCAGAGACAGGCAGGACACAGCTTTGACCCAACTGGCCAAGGAATCAAAACAACCCTCACTGGTGTCCAATTAACAAATCCCTTTGGGCAAACAATCTCCATAACACATTCCACACGTGCAAAAACAACAGGAGCAGAAAGTAGAGATAAGAATTGTTTTCTCTCCTGTCACTATGATATTTTATGAAAATCCTTTCACTAGGATTTTTCTCCTGAGGAGCTGAGAAGCCTCAGAAAAGAAATGCAAACAATAATTATGTGATGGCTGTGGAATGTGGTTTGGAGATGGTTTACCAACAGGTGCCTCTTTGATTGGTCTCATGTGCATTGTTTTACTTGATGACCAGTCATGGTCCAGCTGTGTCGAGGCTGTGAGCAGCCACAGGTTTTTATTATTCATTGTTTGTCACAGACATGTTTTATGAAAAATCCTTTCTTTAGGATTTTTCCTCTTGAGAAGCTGAGAGGCCTCAGGAACAAAATGTAACCAATGGTTATCTGCTGCTGTGGAATGCAACAGGTGCATCTGGGATTGGGCTCATGTGGTTGTTTCTAATTAATGGCCAACCACAGTCAGCTGGCTCGGACTCTGTCCTTTGTTCTCATTCTTTCTATTCTTAGCCAGCCTTCTGATGAAATCCTTTCTTCTATCCTTTTAGTATAGTTTCGATATAATATAGATCATAAAATAATAAATCAAGCCTTCTGAAACATGGAGTCAGATCCTCATCTCTTCCCTCATCCTCAGACCCCTGTGAACACGGTCACAATTCTTTGCTGGCCTTCTGATATCTCTTTTCTTTTTTTTTAGTATAGTTTTAGTATATAATTTTCTTTTAATATAATACATATCGTAAAATAATCAATCAGCCTTCAAAAACATGGAGTCAAGATTCTCATCCCTTCCCTCGTCCTGGGGACCCTCAAACACCACCACACTCTTCTTCTCTCTGTGCTTCTCACTGCCTTGCCCAGGAAACATCCTGAGAGAGAGCTGTGCCCCGGGGATGCAGCAGGACGGGCAGGAACGGGCAGAGGCTGAGCTGCAGGAGGGGCTGGGCACCTTCCAGGAGGGGCTGGGCCCGGCGGAGGCCATGGCTGTGCTGGCGCTGCTGGAGGAGCACGAGGAGCCCCTGCTGAGCCGCTCCGTGGCCTTTGCCGAGCACCTGGATCGGGAGCTGCGGGAGCTGGAGGAGGTAACAGAGCCATGGAGGGGCCTGGAAGGAGGGGCTGAGTCTCTGGGCATCAACTGCTCTGGGAGAAATTCCGGGAGGAAAGGGAAGGGGAATGGGAAATTCAGGGAAGTTCAGGGAAGGGAAGTTCTGGGAAGGTTCTGGGAAGGTTCTGGGAAGGTTCTGGGAAGGTTCAGGAAAGGTTCCAGAAGGGAAGGTTCAGGAAGGTTCAGGAAGGTTTGGGAAGGGAAGGTTTGGGAAGGTTTGGGAAGGGAAGGGAAGGTTTGGGAAGGGAAGGGAAGGGTCTGACTGTGGGGTGCTCTGGGGCTGGCTGAGGAAGGGGAAGGGACAAAAGGTGTCCCTACAGAAGGAACAGCAGGATTCAGGGAGTGTGAAAAGGGGAGAAAAATGAAACAGAGCTGGAAGGAGATTGAAAAGGAAAATATAAACCAGTAGGAAGGGCCAGTGAAAAAGGCACAGGATATTTCCAGAATTCCTGGTGAGGATGGGGAAGCCCTGGCACAGGGTGCCCAGAGCAGCTGCGGCTGCCCCTGGATCCCTGGAAGTGTCCAAGGCCAGGTTGGATGGGGCTTGGGGCAGCCTCGGATGGTGGGAGGTGTTGGAACAAAATGGGCTTTAAGGTCCCTCCTGTCCCAAACCTTTCCAGGATTCTGTGGTTTTCCATGGATTTGGAAGGGAAAGGAGGAAATGAAACCAAGGAGCTCAAGGGTCCCCTGGAAGAGGATCCTTCAGTATCCCTGGCTCCCACCCCTGGGTGGATGGAACTGGATGGGCTTTAAGGTCCTTTCCAACCCCAACCATTCCATGGCTTTTGACTACTGAGCTTTACTGACTCCATTGGGGTTGCTGTGATTTATTGCATTTCTGCAGAGGAAATTTCTCCTTTAAGTGCTGGAACAAAAAACCTAGGAAAGCTGCTTTGAGCACTTATCTTCTGCTAAAATATCTGGGATTTTATGGTTGGTAGCCAAGGAAAAGGGGAAAAAATAAGCCAAAGGAAATATCTTAAACCATACAAGAAACCACAAACCCTAAATCGAACCTCCTTTAGCTGCAGAGTCTGCTGTATTCCCATATATGATTTATTACACTTGGAAGTTAATCTGGAAGCCCAAACTCCTGAGGTTTGTTCCTGCCAGCTCCTGGCAAGGAATTCAGGCACTTTTTGACTGTTCCCAGCTGTAAAACACCCTGGGAGAGCAACAAATACATCTTTATTAAGTTTTTTGAGATGAAAGGCACCGTTGAATACATTATTTTAATGCCCTCTAATGAATAAATGTGACTTCCCTCTAATACAAATTAATTAATGAACATTTCCATTTCCGAGCCTTAATCTCCAATATTAAATGTTATTAATCCCAGCAAGTTAGACCAGCACATGCATCCATTTCAATGTTTTCCCCACATCCCAGTGATAGCACCTTGGCTTTCTCTCCCATATTAATCACCCTCCTCTAACCCAGCTGTTCTGGGAATCACAGAAATCCCTGCACTGGCAGCAAGGAAAAGTTGATTTCTCCAAAGAGCAGGACAGCACGGCCGGGAACACCGGGAGGCCAAAGGCTCTGATTTGGACATTGATATTCCTGCAGAATTCCAGGATCCCAGCACATGGGAACTGCAGGCAGCTCCCAGCAGCTCTGTGCTGTGGCTGGATTTTATTCCTGTTCCTGGAGCCTCTGGAGAGCCCCTTCCCACAGCCCTGTCCCATCAATGTCACCGGGGATGCTCCCCGGGGTGACAGCCTGAAGGACTGGCAGGGACAGGCGTGGGGGAGGCTTCTGGCTCTAATTAAAGAGCAATTAATAAATGGGAAACTCTGGGCAGAGCTGGTGGGATGGGATGGGGTCCCTGGGCGTGGCAGGGAAGCAGAATTTGGAGCATGGCTGGTGCTTTTGGAGATGAGTGTCCATGGTTAGAGAGGATGGGAGAGCTGGGGGTGTCCACCTGGAGAGGGGAGCTCAGAGCCCTTGTAGGGCCTGAAGGGGCTCCAGGAGAGCTGCAGAGGGACTGGGGACAAGGATGGAGGGACAGCACACAGGGAATGGTTCCCAGTGCCAGGGGGCAGGGATGGATGGGATATTGGGAATTGGGAATTGTTCCCTGGCAGGGTGGGCAGGCCCTGGCACAGGTGCCCAGAGCAGCTGGGGCTGCCCCTGGATCCCTGGCAGTGCCCAAGGCCAGGCTGGACACTGGGGCTTGGAGCAGCCTGGGACAGTGGGAGGTGTCCCTGCCATGGGGTGGAATGGGAAGAGCTTTAAGGTCCCTTCCCACTCCAAACCAGACTGGGATTCTCTGAAATCTTTGGGGTGGACACTCAGGTGCTCAGGGGACTCCACCACTTGTGGAGGGGAGGGTTGGACACTCCCTGCAGTGACACCTTCCCAGGGCACACATCCAGCAGGGCTTGGTGGCCTCTCTGGACCGACGGAGATTTTTCTGCTCATGGCCAGATTTTCCTGGACACTCCCCAGGAATTTGCTTGCTGGGGCAGCTGGAAGTGCCCTGAGGGGATGCCTTGCCCAGGGCAGGGTTCTGTGTGCCCTGGCTTTGGGGACATGCAGGTGGCATTTGGCCAAGGTGGGACAGTGGCACTTCCACCAACATCCTGCGGGTCACAGCGACACGGTCCCTGCCGTGCCTCAGGAGAGTGAGGGACAGGACATTGGAGCCCAGGATGGTGACACATCCCTGCCAAGCTCTGAATCCCTCTGCCCCTGCTTCCCACAGGCCAACCTCCACGCCATCCTCTCCTCGGAGCAGCAGCTGGCCCAGCTGATGGGCGCCCTTGACGAGGCCCTGGCCGAGGTGGACAGGGTGGAGGAGACCCTGCAGGTGTGTGAGGAGCTGCTGGGGGCTGTGAGGCAGCAGATGGATCACATCCACCGGGAGAGCTCCCTGCTGCACCGCCTGGCCTCCAACAGGAGCAGGCTGATGGATGAGATCCTGTTCCTCACGGTGCGTGGGCTTGCCAGGACATTAATCTTCAGCTGGTGAATCTGCTGGGAAAAACTTCCAGGGAATTTTAAACACTGAGAGCTCTGATTGTCTGCAAGGGCTGTGGAGCTCCTCTGGCTGGGAAATGGGGATGGTGCTGCAAGGTGAGGATGGACAGAGAAGAGCTGGGATGTGCAGGACCCTCACCATGGCCCAGAGGGGTCTCTGAAAGGCCTTTTCCAGGGCAGGACTAGGAATGACAAAGCTGATTAAATAACCATGACCTGGGAATACAAAACCAACAATTAATGAACTAATCAATTAATTAGAGGCAGAGCTTGCAACACCAGGCCTTCCTCGGGCACCACTGCAGCTGTTCCTGAGCTGAACACTGGTTTTCATGGGGACTTCCATGGATTTCCTGATGGACACAGCAGCTGCTGCTGAGGGCAGCACTGGGCAGTCCCAGCCAGCAGAATTCCCAGTGGGATGGGAAGGGAAGGGAAGCAATGGGAAGCAATGGGAGGGATGAGGGGCTGGGAAGGGATGAGAAGGGAAGGGATGAGAAGGGAAGGGATGGGATGGGAGGGGATGGAAAGGGATGGGAAGGGATGCAATGGCAGGGATGAGGGGCTGGCTGTGTGTGAGCTGTGCTCTGTGGCTGTGTTTAGCTGTGTTTAGCTGTGTTTGGCTGTGTTTAGCTGTGTTTAGCTGTGCTCTCTGGCTGTGTTTGGCTGTGTTTAGCTGTGTTTGGCTGTGTTTAGCTGTGCTCTGGCCGTGTTTGGCTGTGTTTAGCTGTGCTCTCTGTCTGTGTTTAGATGTGTTTAGCTGTGTTTGGCTGTGTTTAGCTGTGCTCTCTGGCTGTGTTTAGCTGTGTTAGCTCTGTTTGTCTGTGTTAGCTGTGTTTGGCTGTGTTCTCTGGCTGTGTTTAGCTGTGCTCTGCCTGTGTTTGGCTGGGTTTAGTTGTGTTAGCTGTGTTTAGCTGTGCTCTGGCTGTGTTTGGCTGTGTTAGGCTGTGTTTAGCTGTGCTCTCTGTCTGTGTTTAGCTGTGCTCTGGCTGTGTTTGGCTGTGTTAGGCTGTGTTTGGCTGTGCTCTCTGGCTGTGTTTAGCTGTGTTAGGCTGTGTTTAGCTGTGTTTAGCTGTGCTCTGGCTGTGTTTGGCTGTGTTAGGCTGTGTTTGGCTGTGTTTGGCTGTGTTTAGCTGTGCTCTCTGTCTGTGTTTAGCTGTGTTAGGCTGTGTTTAGCTGTGTTTAGCTGTGCTCTGGCTGTGTTGCAGAGCCAGCTGCAGCTGAGCAGGGATCACTGTGCTGCCCTGAGCCGGGTGGATCTGTCCAGCCCCGCGGCCATCGGAGCCTGCACGGCTGCAGCCCAGGCTCTGTCCTCCTGCCTGGACCTCCCCATCCACCCCTGTGAGTAGGAGCAGGGATTCCTCCCACGGGATCTCCCTGCCAGGGACGGGCACCTCTTGGAGCTCGGAAAGGAGCTGGGGAAGCTGTGGCTGGAAATCCTGGCTGGTGCTGTCTGTGGAAAACAGCAGCTCATTGTGGCAGGATGGGGCAGTTTCTGGATCCCTGGAAGTGTGCAGGGATCCTGGCAGGAAATCCCAAGTTTTCCTTGTGGTCACACTGGGCGTGTCTCCTTGGCTGAGGCTGGACTCATGGATTATTTTTATTTTTTAAATTTTATTTTCCACTCCTTGTCTGTATTTCCTTGGTACCACAGGAAAGCTTTTGCCATTTTGGATTTATCTCAGGACTTCTTCCTGAGTTCCCTGTTTTCTGAGGGGTGTGGGTCTGCAGCTCCCCCAGATCCCCCCAAATCCCAAAATATCCTTTTTTCCCCCCGAGGTTACCGGAAGCTGCAGGCAGTGGCTGAGCAGCTGATCCTGTTTGAAACCCTCAAGCAGAACTTTGAGAGCTCCTTCATCAGCCACATCACCAACATCTTCGAGCTGCAGGTGGCTCCACTCTTCATGGCAGCCTGAAATCCTGGGAAATTGGAATATTCTGGGGAGGTTGGGCAGTGGTGCAGGAGATGCTGCTGTGACAGGATTGTCCCAAATTGTCTCTCCAAAGAGATCTTCACACACACCTTGCCTTTGTCATTGTCCCTCAGTCCTCAGGTTAATTTTCCAGGGATGTAGGAGCAATCCATGTTCCCAAAATCCCTCTGGTGGCATTCCTTAAATCCTCAGGCCTGCAGATTTTTTGTTTGGGTTTTCTTATTTTATTTTGGGGGTTGTTGATCTGTTTGTAACCTAAAATCCCAGGGTAAACCCTAATCCTGTGATCCTTTGATTAACACCTTCCAGCACTGATCTGGCTGTTTAAATGATTTGATGGACAAGACTCCTGTGGGCAGCAATCCCAGAGATCTCCTTCTGTGGAAAGGAGCAATTCCCAAATCCTTACTTCTTTAAATCCTTAGTGTTCAGTTCCAAGTAGCAGTTCTGAGAAGGGAGCTGGGAAGGAGCTGAGGGATTGCCATCCTTGGAGATTTGCAGACCTTGGCTGGGCACATCCCTGAGCAAACTTTTCCATCTGGATCTGCTCTGAACCTGCCCCACTCCAATCCCCCCTGCACGGCTCTGCAGGTGCAGTGTCCCAGCAGATTTTCAAGGCTGTTTTATGTGGATTTTTTCTGTCATTTCTCTCCCTTCAGGGCAATTCCCAGGCCCCTGCTCTTGGTGCCCCCACTGGCACCGTGGCTGCCCCAAGCCACAGACCCCACCACGAGGAGCTGCTGCCCTACGCCCCCCTGATGGCCTGGCTGAGGAGCACCAACCCTGCTCTGTTCTGGGACCTCCCCAAGGTAGGGCTGAGACCCTCAGCAAGCACTGCAAACCTTCCCTGGGGCAGCCAGCTCCAGCTGGGAGTTCCTGGTGGGACCTGGCTCTCCCCTGAGCTTCCAGAGCTTCTGGGGATGTCCAGCCAGCCTGGAGCTCTGTGCCCAACAGGAAACTGGGGGATGCCAGGGTTGTGCTGAAGTGAAAGGTCTGTAATGCCCAGATTTGGACTTTTTGCTCTTACCTGGCCTTTCCTCCCCATTCCAGGTGTATTCCCAGAACCTTGGCAGGCTCTACGAGCGGGAAATCAGGGCCCTTTTTGAGCAGGCCAAGATGTCCCTGTCAGGAAGAAGAAAAGCAAGTGAGTGGTTCAAAATGTGCCCTCGGTGCTGTTGGGCAGGGTTTGGCACCTAGGGATGGTGACAGTCACCTCCAGCACAGCTGGCTTCCCAGGCTTGCTCCAGGGCTTTGTTTCCTGGCTCTGCAGGTGGCAGGGAGGGAAAAGCCAGCCCTGCTCCACACCAGGCAGTGCTGGGGAGAGCCTCAGCCCCATGAATTCCCCACTTTTGTTCAGCTGCTCCTCAGAGCTGGAGCTTTGTGTCCTTCCCTGTGCAGGGCTCAGGAATGACAGAGTGGTGGCTGGGATCGTGTTCCAGGCAGCCACAGGAGAGAGAGGGGGATGTAGAAAAGCCTGGAAAACAAAACCTGTTGTCAGCTCCCTTCTCCCTGGCTCTTAAAGATTCCCACTCCACCATTACCTCCTGAAAAACCCCACCAGGTTTTCCCTTCCCTTGCATGCACCTGCTCCAGGGGCTGGAGCTCCTCTCCTGTGAGGCCACGCTGAGGGATCTGGGGCTGTTCAGCCTGGAGAAGGCTCCAGGAAGAACCTGTAAATCCCCCATCCCTGGAAATGTTCCAGACCATGTCAGACAGGCTTGGAGCAAGCTGGGATAGTGAGTGGAAGGTGTCCCTGTTGGTAGCAGGGTGGAATGAGGTGATTCTTTGGTCACCCCCAGCCCAAAGCATTCTGTGATTTTAGGATTCTCTAAAGCCTGGTCCATCTTTCATGCAAGATTCCCCAGACACTTTTCCCTGCAGGGGGAAGCCTGTCCCAGGAGACAGAGGGAATTCACAGCACTGTTTATGGAATGATTTCACAGTGAGCTGACTGCCAGGCCCTGCTGTCCCAAGGTGCTCATTTCCACCAAAATCGCTGGGTCTGACTCAAAATATTCCAGTCAGGTGTTTCTGAAGATAAAAAGAGAAACTGATCTGTCTCCTCTGGAAATTTTTTATGGCCCACAAGTCACATTTTCCCTCATCAAAACAAAGGGCTGTAATGGAAATTTCCAGGCCAGTTTGGCCCAGTTTGAAGGTCAGCCTGGTGTGTTTTGTTCATCAGAGTCAGCACTTCCAGCTCTGCACTTCCTTCAGCACCAGTGTCCAGATCCCAAGCCAGGGGATGAAGCTGAAGGAAGGGAATGGGGTTGGTGGCTCCCACTTTTGGGGTTCCTCACACCAAAAACATCCCCACCACCAGCTCCTCCTGCCCAGCATCACTGCCCCTGGGAAAGACACTCAGCTGCTGGGAAAACAGGGGACCTCAAACCCTGGGATCAAAGCAGGATGGGCAGTGCTCACACAAATACCTGCACAGCAGTCCAGGGAAAAAAGGAGGAAAATTTCACCTAAATAGTCCTAATGGCGCCTAAATGGGCACTACTGGACCATTTATGGGAATAAAGTTGTTAAATTAAACAAAAGGTGGTGCAGGGCGTGGGTGGCAGCCAGTCTGCCCCATCCCCTTCCATAAACATTAAACTGGGATTTCCTTCCAGTATTTTATCCATCTTTAAATCCTACACGAGTCTGTAAACCAGGAGGGATTAAACCCCAGGGGAAAACCCTTGGAAGGCTACAAGGTGTTCCTGCTCCAGTAGAAATCAGCCCAAAGTGTCTGCCCAGCACTGGGGCTGCTCCACGGGCAGGACAGGGTGAATTTTGTTGTCCTGGGATGTCCCCACTCTGCTCCAGAGGGTGAGGACAGGTCTGGGACAGGCAGGAAGCCCCAGGGGCTGTTCAGCCCATCCTTGATGTGAGCAGAGCATTGGAACAACCTCACAGTTCGTGAGAAAAGGGGGAATTTTTAGCAATTTGTGCCCACAGAGGTGGCACCTTCCCCGGGGCTGGCAGCGTCCCAGGCGAGCTCCCTGTGCCGTCTCTGCAGCAGGGCAGGGGCACAGCATCCCCCTCCTCTGCAGGGCAAGGTGACCCCTTCCCAGCCCCGGGACAGGCCAGAATTCCCGGGGTGGCTCTCCAGGGTGCTGCACACGCTGCAGGAGGCGGCCCCAGGGCTGTCCCTGCTCCCGGAGCCTCCTCCTGCAGCTGCAATGTTCCTGCAGAGCTGGCTGACCCAGCCGGGAGGGTTTGCAGGGCAGCTCTGCCTCTGCTGAACTTGTGCAGGAACCTCAGCCAAGGTCCTTCCTGCTCATGGATGGAGGCCGGGCTGTGGGGAAACCTGCCCAAAAACTTCCCTCATCCCCGCCCCAAAACTTCCCTCATTCCTACCCCAAAACCCCCCTCATCCCTGCTGGAGAATATCCCTCATCCCTGCCCCAAACACCCCTCATCCCTGCCCCAAAACATCCCTCATCCCTACCCCAAAACCCCCCTCATCCCTGCTGGAAAATATCCCTCATCCCTGCCCCAAACACCCCTCATCCCTGCCCCAAAACATCCCTCATCCCTGCTGGAAAATATCCCTCATCCCTGCTGGAAAATATCCCTTATCACTGCCCCAAAACTTCCCTCATCCCTGCCCCAAAACATCCCTCATCCCTGCTGGAAAATATCCCTCATCCCTGCTGGAAAAAATCGCTCATCCCTGCCCCAAAACTTCCCTCATCCCTGCCCCAAAACATCCCTCATCCCTGCCCCAAAACATTCCTCTTCCCTGCCCCAAAACATCTCTCATCCCTGCTGGAAAATATCCCTCATCCTGCTGTCAAAAATCCCTTATCCCTGCCCCAAAACATCCTTCATTCCTGCCCCAAAACATTCCTCATCCTGCTGTCAAACTCCCCTCATCCCTGCCCCAAAACATCCCTTATCCCTGCTGTCAAACTCCCCTCATCCCTGCTGTAAAATATTCCAGTCCAGGTCTCCAGGCCATTTCTTTTGTCCTGATTATCCCAGTAAATTTTTTGGGTTGATTCCCTGCCCTCATAAAAGATTTTATTTATGGCACCACCTGCTGATTTCTTGCCTTATGTGACAGGAGAGTGAGTTTAGAAGGCAACCTCGAGCTGTTTATAATTAATTAGGGGCCAGTAATTAAGTCCTTTCTCATTTTGCCATTCCATTTTCTGCAGGCTTGTTAAATTCTTTCCCATTTGCTGTTGGAGGATTTATTTTTTCCTGGTTTTGCCACTTTCCAGCTGGTGAAATTATAATGAAATGGTGAGAAAAAGGCCAGGAAGCAGCTCCTTAATTTAGTCCTGGTTTTAGCAAGGCTGAGGTCGTGAGCAGGGCTGGCTCATCCCTCATCCCTGCTGAGCATGGAGCTCCCAAATCCTTCCCAAAGGGAAAACCCTTCAGGGAGTGTCTCAAATAGAAATATTTGAGTTACTGTGATTGATGGAGAGGTGACCTGACTCCCCCAGAACCTTTGGAATAGGGGAATGATTCCTATTTCTGGAAATAATTAGGAAATAATCTGGATGTTTCCCCACTGATTCCTTTCAGGGAGTAGAAAAATGTTTTTTAAACATATCTTTCAAAGGATTCTTTTCAACTTTTCCACTCAGGCCAAGCCCCCAGTGCTAAAACTGCCAATGTTGGAGAAATATTTTTATTTCCAGGTGAAAGATTTTAATTTTAAAAGGGCATTTTTTGAGAAAAAGCCATTCCCACCTCCCCTGGATATTTTTTATGGCAATTTACAATCAAAATTAAGCACCAAACAATTTTCCTGAGGCTTTTGCAGGTTTTTGTGCTGATCTCTTCTCTTATCCCCTGGGATTTTCACCAACCCAGCTGTCAGGAGTAAGCACAAGGCAGCAAAGGGATAAACACCTCAATCAGTGAAATCAAAAGGCAGTTTAATGAAACAAAAATTATGAAAAAGAGGGAGAAACAAGTGAGAAGGCAGAGAAAAAAATGGGAATTTCATCTGCATCTCCCATTTATCTGAATGCAACTGGAAAAGATCAATTCATGCATGAGGTCAGACATAAAAAGAGACATTTAGGACTTTAACTATCTGTGACTCCAGGAGCTGGAGAGTCCCAGAGGGAGGAGGTTTCTGACATCCCCCACCTGTGCAGGTCTGCAGGAAACGTGGGAGAAGCCAGCAGGGATCAGGCAGCCCCGGTGGAGCCTCCCCTGGAGCAGGGACAGGCAGGAGGACGCCCTGGCCAGGGGCAGCATGCGCAGGGTAAGGAGCTGAGGGCTCCTCAGGGGTTCCTTGTCCCTCCCTGGGCAGAGCCTGAGGCGCTCCCTGTGCTCCCCACGTCCCCTCAGTGGACACGGAGCTGCTCCGGTGTCCCCGGTGAGTCCCACAGGGTTCCCAGACCCTGGGTGTGTCTCAGCAGGTGTTGGAGCAGGTGCTGAGCGAGCTGCAGCCCCTCTGCACCTTGGAGCAGCAATTCCTGCAGGAATTCTTCTGCCTCGGCTGTGACTCCGTGGAGCTGGAGGTGAGGGTGAGCACCGTGCCCTCTCCAGGCCCATTTCCCAGCCTGGCTCATCCATGGGGTACCTGGGCTCTCCTGGGCTCCCATCCTCCAGGAACCAGCAGTGGGGATGCTTAAGAGGAGAATGAAATGGAATTTAATTCACAGCTCCAGGAAAACCAGGGGTTTCCAAGCATTAAACAAGAGGCAGCAGAAATAAATCCAGAGCTCATTTTCCTGGCTGAGGGAGAGCAGACAAATCTTCATTTTGTGGGTTTAGGTGGGATATTGGGGAGGAATTCCTCCCTGTGAGGGTGGGGAGGTGCTGGGATAGAATTCCCAGAGCAGCTGTGGCTGCCCTTGGATCCCTGGAAGTGTCCAAGGCCAAGGTTGGACAGAGCTTGGAGCAACCTGGGACAGTGGAAGGGGTCCCTGCCCAGGGCAGGGGGTTTGGGGTCCATCCCAAACCATTTTGGGATCCTTTGATAATTTCCACTCTAATCTTCTTTCAGGGATCTGCCACTAAGGCAGGAGAGCCCACGGCACCTCCAGAGGACCCTCCTTGCACCAAGAGCCAGAGCCAGTATGTGGGGGCAGGGATACCCTGAGTCCCCTGACAGGACACAGGCTGAAGTGTCCCCTCCCAGTTAATTCCTGACCTTTCCCATGGTTTGGTTTGGTTTTCAAGGCCCAAAGAAGCCACAGCCCAACTGCTGAGTGAGATCTTCAGCTGCCTGGAGCCAGAGCTGAGGGCATTTCTGGATGTCTGCAGCAAGGTTCAGCCCCTGGGCTGCCTGCAGGTCCTGGTGACCCTGAGTGACTCCGTGCTGGGGACCCGGGGCCCTTCCTCAGCTCCCCCCTCGTCCTTCCTCCACACCCTCCTGGGGAATGTGCTGCTCCTGGCCAAGAGCAACTTCAACAAATGCATCGTGAGTGTCCATGGTGGGAGGGAGCCCAACATACCTGAGGGATGTTTGACCTCTTCCAAAAACTTCCAAACAAAACCATGGAGGCTGTAGAAGACCTCCACCATCACTGAGTCCAAGCTGTGCCTGATCCCCAGCTCGTCCCCAGCCCAGAGCTTTGAGGGCCACATCCAGGTGTTCCTTGGACACCTCCAGGGGTGGGGACCCCAAAGCTCCCTGAGCAATGGCACAGCTCCATGTCAGCCTCCAACAGGGGGTGTCACATCCCTTGGCATTGCAGAAGGCATTGTCAATGGCAAAGCCCTCCCAAACCCAGTTCCTTGCCTTGTTTCCTGGCCTGTGCTCCTCCAACGAGGCCAGATCTGATGGTGCCACCTCTGTGTCATTCTCAGGGGACCTTGTGCAAGGAGATGGAGGAGGCCAAGCCTGCCAGCAGGACCAGAGGGGGGATCCTGCCCTGTGTCAGCCGCTTCCAGGAGCTGGTGGCCCTCTCTGAGGAGGTGCTCCAGACATCCCAGCGCCGGGGGGAGCTGGACAGGGCCCAGCTCAGGCTGGCCAGCAGCGTCTTCAGCAGCAGTGAGTGCCAAGGCTGGGTGCTCTGGGCAGGAAATGTCCCCCTGCAGCTGCAGGAGTGACCAGCTGGGCCACCAGGGCAGGGAGAGCTGCCTGTCCCTGGCACTGAAATCTCTCTGCACATTCCAGGTGTGGCAGGGTGGGAGCTGCCTGTCCCCTGAGCCTGCACCTCAAACCCCTTTCCCTGAGCAAGGTCCTGGGAGCACCAGGCAAATTCTGGGTGCTCTGTCACAGGGGGATGGCCCCAGGGGGGTGACAGGGCTCAGCTTACACACAAGGCTCAGCTTTGGATCCAGTTCCAACATCTCCTGCCCCACTGTGGAGGGAGAGCTCCTGACAGATCAGTCTCCTCTTACAAGGTCTTGGGAGCCAGAAAAACTCCCCCAAAACCACCAAGGTGTGTTGGTTGGGAGAGTGGGGTGGGGAGAGTGGGGTGGGGAGCTTCCCGTAGATCCCTGTGTTGTCCCAGCTGGAGCCTTCAGCTTGCTGTCAGTGGAAATATCCTGTTTTCCTGCCTGGAGAGGAGCCGAGGGGCTGCAGAATTCCCAGCTCTGACCACAGATCAGGAGGTGGTGCAGAGGGGCAGCTCCCACCTGTGGGTGAGCCTGGGGTGACCCATAAATCCATGGACATGGACAACAATCCATGGACCATGCCAGGCTGCAGGAATGTTGGCAGGGAAGCAGGTCAGGCACGGAATCATGGACAGGGATCAGGATTCGTGTTATAATGACTCCCTCTGAGGTCAGATGGTTCAAATGAGCCATCCCAAAGGCACATCCCTCCTGAGAGCCTGCAGAGGCTTCTCTCCACACCTGACTCCCTCCTTCCCTCCCAGTCAGCAGCCTCTCCTCAGCCAACCTGAAGGTGAACACAGATATGGTGATGATGGAAAATTTCCACCACATCCACAACTTCCTGTGCCAAAGGAACATCCCCTGCCTGGAGGGCAAGAAGAGAGAAGCCAAGCAAAGGTGCAGGGAGCACATGGAGAAATACATCACCACGTACGTGGGCCAGCCCCTGGAGAGCCTCAAGGTGAGCACAGGACCCTGGCCTGGGCCTCCAAGGGCTCTTCCCAAAACTCTGGACTAACTGGTGTTCAAATCTCCCTGCCCTGGATCCAGTCTGGGATTATGTTACTTTGCTGTCACAGGATATGAGAGCACCTGGATTTCATTCTGCTCAGGGATTCCCAAAATCCTGGCATGGCCTCCTCCAGCTCTCCCTGTTTGAGCACAGACACCAAGGGAAGGTGCAAAGGGGTGTGAATAGTGCAGGAGCCCATTCCTGTTTCTTGGGAACAATTTGTACATTTAGGAACTCTAAATCCTTAGGACTTAGGGTATTTCTCCACAGCAAAATTGCAGCAGGAATAGCCCAAAAGATTCTTGGGCTGTATGAAGAGACAGGAGGATGAAGGAAGGGATTATTCCCTTGTCTTACAGCAGATATGGAATGCCCTGTCCAGTGCTCCCTTCCCTGACCACTGCTGGGTCTGGCTGTGCAGTCCCACCTCAGCAGCACCACAGAATCCCAGGCTGAAGGGATCCCAAAGGATCACCCAGTGCAAACTTCACTGCTTGGATGAGATTCTGTAGCTCCCTGTCCAGTGCCATCCCGAAAACTCCAGTGGTGGGACTCCATCACACCCCTGGGCAGGTGTGATTGACCATCCCAGCTTGTTCTCACTGGAAAAAGTTCCTGATATCCAGACAATGTGCTCAGCCCTCCCTTCCCCAGGGAAGCCTTTCCCAGTCCCTCTTCTGACAATCCAAACCAGGTGTGGGTTTTTTTCATTTTCCTGCTGCCTTGTCCTCGTGCCCGTTTCCAAATGGTGAACCAAGATATGGGGGGCAGAATTCCAAAGCACTGCTAGGGAGCTTGATCCCAGTTTGTTCCCAGTTTTCTCCCAGTTTTCTCCCAGTTTGCTCCCAGTTTGTTCCCAGTTGTTTCCCAGTTTTTTTCCCAGTTTGTTCCCAGGTTATTCCCAGTTTTTTCCCAGTTTGCTCCCAGTTTGCTCCCAGTTTGTTCCCAGATTGTTCCCAGTTTGCTCCCAGTTTGCTCCCAGTTTGTTCCCAGATTGTTCCCAGATTGTTCCCAGTTTGCTCCCAGTTTGCTCCCAGTTTTTTCCCAGTTTGCTCCCAGTTTGTTCCCATCCCCATTCCGGTTGCGTGCCGACATCTGGCAGATCCCAGCTCTTTTTTCACAGCTGCCTGGGCTGATCCATCCAACACTTCCCAAGTGGCTGCTTTGTTAACTGAGCTAAGAGCATCTGGCTCTGCTAACTCAAACAGACATTCCCTCCTTCCCGAGGCTGCAGCTCTTCCGCTCCTTCCCTCTCCCTAAAATGTCTCACAGATGGAGCTCAGCTGGAATTATTTATGGGACCTGTTACTTCCAATTTGTTTCCAGTCCTTGCTGTCAAACATTTGTTGGCTTGGCTGGAAAATCAGTTCTGTGTCTTGTGCTACCTGAGCTCTGCTATGACTTCAAACCCTCCCTTTCCCAAGGGAAAAGATCATTTTATTGCTCACAACAAAGTGAGTGGGATATGAGAGCACCTGAAAATCCTGGCATGGCCTTCTCCAGCTCTCCCAGTTTTTCTTCACCAAGAGGAGGTGCAAAGAGGTGTAAATATTGCAGAGGCCAATTCCTGGTTCTTGGAAACAATTCATACATTTGGGAACTCAAAATCCTTGGGATTTAGGGTATTTCTCCACAGCCAAGTTGCAGCAGGAATAGCCAAACAGATTCTTGGGCTGTATGAAGTGACAGGAGGATGAAGGAAGGGATTATTCCCTTGTTTTACAGCAGATGTGGAGTGTCCTGTCCAGCTCTGGCACAGATATCAGGAGAACTGAGAAAATTCAGGTTTTGCTTTACACCTCTGCACATTCTGGGATCCCCCTTCCCCACCTCTGGCTCCAGACCCTCTGTGGGGAGAAAACTGAGGGGAACACCAAGGAACCGGAGGGATTTTCCAGCAGTCCCATTGCTCCATGGGCCTGCAACCCTTAGGGATGCTTCTTGTTGAGCAGGGAGGGGAGAGAACCATGAAATTCCCTATGTTCTGCTTTCCTGGAGGATAAAAATCTCCAGCACTGCATTAAACATCCTTAAATTCTTCATTTCAACTGAATTAGACATGGGAACTGAGGGCAGCACTCAGGTGTTAGCCCTGGTGCAGGAATCCACCTTGGGATGGCTCCTCATGGAACGTCTCCTTCCCTTCCCTTCCCTTCCCTTCCCTTCCCTTCCCTTCCCTTCCCTTCCCTTCCCTTCCCTTCCCTTCCCTTCCCTTCCCTTCCCTTCCCTTCCCTTCCCTTCCCTTCCCTTCCCTTCCCTTCCCTTCCCTTCCCTTCCCAGAATTTCTTTGAGGGGGTCAAAGCCCGCCTGGCTCAGGGGGTGAAGGAAGAGGAGCTCAGCTTCCAGCTGGCCTACAGCAAGCAGGAACTGCGGAAAGTCATCGAAAAATATCCTGGCAAGGAAGTCAAAAGGGCCCTGGAGACCCTCTACAGGACAATCCACAAACATCTGTCCCCTGAGGAAAATCTGCTGCCGGTAACCGGAGTGGGATGGTTGGGGTTCAGGACTGCACTGCCTGGATGGCTGCAGGGGGAGGGGAAGGGGCTGAGATTTGCTTTTCCAGGTGGTGTGGCAGGCCATGGAGCAGGGTTCTGCTTTTCCAGGTGGTGTGGCAGGCCATGGAGCAGGGTTCTGCTTTTCCAGTGGTGTGGCAGGCCATGGGATGGGGTTTTTGGTTTTCCAGGTGGTGTGGCAGGCCATGGGATGGGGTTTTTGGTTTTCCAGGTGGTGTGGCAGGCCATGGAGTAGGATTTTTGGTTTTCCAGGTGGTGTAGCAGGCCATGGGATGGGGTTTTTGGTTTTCCAGGTGGTGTGCTAGGCCATGGAGCAGGGTTCTGCTTTTCCAGTGGTGTGGCAGGCCATGGGATGGGGTTTTTTGGTTTTCCAGGTGGTGTGGCAGGCCATGGAGCCGGGTTTTTGGTTTTCCAGGTGGTGTGGCAGGCCATGGAGTAGGATTTTTGGTTTTCCAGGTGGTGTGGTAGGCCATGGAGCAGGGTTTTTGGTTTTCCAGGTGGTGTGGCAGGCCATGGAGTAGGATTTTTGGTTTTCCAGGTGGTGTGGTAGGCCATGGAGCAGGGTTTTTGGTTTTCCAGGTGGTGTGGCAGGGCATGGGATGGGGTTTTTGGTTTTCCAGGTGGTATGGCAGGCCATGGAGTAGGATTTTTGGTTTTCCAGGTGGTGTGGCAGGCCATGGGATGGGGTTTTTTGGTTTTCCAGGTGGTGTGGCAGGCCATGGAGCAGGGATTCATCCAGCAGTACCGAGAGTTTGAGGAGCTCATCCAATGCTGCTATGCAGGAGCAGGGATTGCCCTGGACTTCACCATGGAGGACTTGCTGAGCTACTTCAACTCCATCACCATGGCCAACATGTAGGGAAATCCCTCTCTGGATGTTGGGAGCAGCTCAGGAGTCCTTATCTGCAGCCACTGAGGAGCTGAACACAAAACCATCCCAAGTTGGATATTTGGGTTCCTACCCTGAACTTAATCCTAATCTCCGACCTGTTGGTCCTAGACTAAATCTCTCTTGGGGAAGTGGAGTTGTCAGACCCAAACCACAACTTCCCTGCTCCAGGAAACCATTTTGCAATCAGGAAATGACACTCCAGGCCTCAGATTTCCCCCTAAGTGAGCGCTGGTGCCGCAAATACTCAGCAAAACATTCACAATTGAAAAATGTCTTCTCTCCAGGGACTTTCTCCTTTTCTGTGCTCAAATTTCAGTGAGCCTGAGCTAAACCAGAGGTTAAACCATATGGAAACACTCTGAGTGAGAGGTGTTCCCACATCCAGGTATCCCAACAGGCACCGCTGCTCCACGGCTCTCCACTGAAAGTCATCCAGCAGATGAAAGTCCAGAGCTGTAAATATTAATGGATTTATTGCTTTTAGCTCAGATTTACTCACATCTTAACTGGAGTGGAGAAATGTGCAGTTCCAGAGATCCAAACCGATCCTGCAGGGAATTCCTGCTTTTAACCTGTTTTTGTTGGAATCTCCCTACAGCAACTCACCAATATATTGCCATCCTGTAAATGTTGTCTCTGTTTCTTGGGATGATCATGGGGCTCACATGTTGTCTGTCACAAGCTTCTTCCTAAACAACTGAAGACTTTGAACTCCTTGATATTTGCCCCACAGGACAAAGATTATTTTATTTATTTTGCATGTTAGAAAATTATCTTGGAGGCAAGATTCCCTGTGCATTGGCAGGGAGGTGGAAGGCTGCTGTGGCTGCTTGGACAGCCCCTCTTCTCCAGGGAAATCCTGGATTCTTCAGTGGGAGCTTTAAGCCAGCACATAAACCCAACTTCCCCTTGTAAAGGGAAAAATCCAGATTATTTTCCCGGGATTTTTCAAGCAGTTGGCCTTTGGGTCAAGGTCCACCTCTGCAGGGAGCAATGTTTAGAGCTCCTGTTTCCAACCTCCTCATTCCCTCCCTTTGTCCCGTGACGTGGCTGCTCCCAGCAGGAAGGGGATGGTCACAGGAAACCTCCCAGTGTTGCCTTCCCAGCTCTTCGTCCCTCTGCAGGTAACAGAAATTTTGCAGCCCCGTTTCCTTCCAGGTTTTGGCTCAGGGGCTCACCTGGGAGGGGAGGGCAGGAGGTGGCGGCTGTAGGCTGGGACATGAAGGTGCTGCAATTTGGGAGCACCCGAGAGAACTCCTGGGGTGAAGGGATTTGCAGAGGGGTTGAGCCAGGTGACTCCGAGGTTGTTGAGCACCAAACACAGCAAGGAGGGGCAGGGATCCCTCTGGATCTGCTGGTGGCTCCCCCATAACCAGCGCAGTCACTGGGCACAGCCCAGGGCATGCCATGGAAGGGGATAATGGGATCTTGCTCCAAACGGGCTCCTCTGGCTGCAGGGAGCAGACATCCCAGTGAAACTGCACCTGGCTTTACACTGCCCCTGCTCCTGTGCCAGTGGGGCTGGGGGATCTCTCCTCACCAACCACTTCCCATGCAGAATCATGGAATCATTTAGGCTGGAAGAGCCCTCTGAGGTCCTTGAGTCGAACCATCCCCCCTGGCCTGCCAACACCATGTCCCTAAAAGCCAAGGGTAGTGCCAGAGGGTCTGAACCCAACCTAAGCCACCAGGAACCTGTGACCCCAGCCTGGTGAGTCCCCATACCCTGGTGCTGTGTCACCTTGGGCCCCTGGCCTCACCCTCTGTCTGGTGGTGACATCTGGCAGCTCAAAGACAAATGACAAGAAGTGTTCCCAGATGTTTCCTGCTGCTGTGCCAGGCCCCAGTTTGTCTCCAGTGTCTGGCTTGGCTCCACCTGGATGAGTGTCCACACCTGGGAGGACCCCAGAGGGGGCTGGAGAAAGGATCACGCACATGGTCCCATCCTTGGTGCACGCGGGGTTTGTGTGTTGGACCTTGGCATCTTGGTGACATCAGCCCTCAGCGATGTCACCCAGCTGGTGCCCACACCTGGCCCAGCCAGGGGCTCTGACAGGCTCGGTGTCACCAGATGCAGACCAGAGTCCAAGGCTCTTGCAGGGACAAGGATTTATGGCTTCTGTACTTCTGCCACCTGCAGGACAGAGGAAAACCCGGGCGATCCCTCTCAGCCCTCAGCTCCCTGGACCATTTTCCATTTCCCTGCACAGCTGGATGCTCCTAACTTCCATATTCTCTGGTTTCCCATGCCAGTTCCCAGCCCTGAGAGCATGGCTTGGAAGGAAGGGGGCACAAGCCCACCCTCGTGTTTCATCCAGTGCCTGGACCACCTGGTGCTGACTGTGAAGAGCATTGAGGACACTGTGGCCTTTTATTCCAAAGTCCTGGGCATGGAGGTGGTGACTTTCAAGGTAACCCTGACCTGAGTTAGCAGGAGCCCACCAGGCCCCCAGGGTGAAATGGGTGCTGAGGGTGTAGGGGTAGGTGATAGTCTGTGTACATTGTACAATTGGTTTTAATCAACTGGTGGGATGTCACTGGGGCCAAGTATGAAAAATCACACCGATAATGTTAACAAAATTACAAACACAAAAATTAGAATGATTTCTACTAGACAAAATAACATTGCTGTTATCAATTTTTACAGCAGCACAGGCAGTTCTCAGGCATACACACCCTTTTCCAGTATATATGAGCAGAGTTTTCTGGTCAGTGTCTGGATGAACTTCGAAGTGGCAAATACTCTGTTCAGTGTCTAAACACACATCCTGGGCATTAATAGTATTGCTTTCCCAAAGGGTGCAGTGGTGGGGGGCCTGGTGGGGTCTTGCTAACTCAGGTCAGGGTTTCACAATGTGTGCTGAGGCTGTCCAGCCCAGGAAGCCTCCCTGACTCTGCCTTTTCCTCTGGAGCAGGGCAATCGCAAAGCTTTGTGCTTTGGCCAGCAGAAGTTCAACCTGCATCAGGCTGGGCAGGAATTCGAGCCCAAGGCTCGGCGCCCCGTGCCCGGCTCTGCAGATTTCTGCCTGATCACAGCAGAGCCCCTGGAGCAGCTGCTGGAGCATCTGCAGGTGAGGCAGACCCAGAGTGTCCCCGGGGAAGTGTCACCCCAGGAGACACAAATCCAGGGACTCTAATGGACACTCTCCTGGGGCATGTCGGGGTTGTCTCATTGTCTCATCCAACAGTTCATGTTGTCAAGGCTGGGGGAGGAGGGCACAGTGATGATATGACCATCAAACCCCTGCTTTCCTGTGTCCTCCAGGCCTGTGGGGTGGCCATTGAAGAAGGCCCCGTAGCCAGAACTGGTGCTGTGGGTCCAATAACCTCCATCTACTTCCGAGACCCCGACGAGAACCTGGTTGAGGTTTCCAGGTACTGCACGGAAGTGGCTGCAGGCACTGAGGGGCAGCCCTGACCACAGCCCATGCTCTGCCCAGGTCCCAGCAGAAGATGGGGTGCAGAGGCCAGGTTGGGCTGGCCCATTTAAGGGTCCAAGCTTTAATTGTGTGGACCTGGGACAAACCTCAAATCATAGCCACAAAGTAGGGCTGCAAGGACCTACGTTGGGAGTTTTCCCAAGGCAGCCTGCTCCGCTCTGCTCTGGGTGTGAATCCTGCTTTTATGCATCATCATGGAGATTTCATGGCCTTCTGGGAAGATCTGCCCTGCTGCTGCTGTACTGCAATTGCTGGGACATCTTCCCTAATTCCTGCTTTCCCTTTTGCTACACTGTCCACCTGCCACTCCTCTCCAGAGTCACAGGTGGACAGTGTAGCAAAAGGGAAAGCAGGAATTTTCCACAGTTGGAAATTTCTGTCTCACTTCCTCTCATCCTCCTGCTTCTTGTCTCAAGCTGCCTGGTGCTGGTGGCTCTCCCACCACACCAGAGGTTTAAATCCAGCTGTGGCTGTCCAAACACATTCCTCTCCTGGGGTTTTGGAATTTGGCCTCGGTGTGACACTCAAACACTCCTGAAACTGAAGCTCCAAGTTTCATCCTCAGCTCTGTATCAATAGTTGGGGGGTTTCTGTCATTCAGGAGTGGAAAAAGTGGGGATGAGGAGCCTACATGAAGAGCAAAGTGTCGGAAGTCCAGGAGTTCACCTGGATTTATGCAGGGATTGAGGATGGTCTGATACAGAGGAGTCTGACTCTGATGGCTCCTGGTTACTTGTGGGACTGTCCTGAGTTTTCTTCTTCATTTAGTTATTTAAAAAGCCATTTCAAAGTTATCTAAAAAGTATAAAACAATGAAGGACCTGGGGATTCTCAAGCAGAGCAGTTCCGGGGCTGGCCACACTGAGGTAGCATCGATATCCTCACGGGAACAGCGCTGGAGAGGAGGGAGGACTCTTCTGACCTCTACAGTGCAAATCCTCTATAAAATTGAAACAATCTCTGAATCGTACTCATTTTTCTTTGCTGGAATTCCGTGGGAAATCCAAAATTCTTCATGGTGTGAAAAAAAGGCAAGGTCACAAGATATTCATGGCTTTGGATGATCAGCAGGGATGAGCTGGTTTCCACTGAGTCGTTTGTGGGAACTAAAGACAGGAATGCCATGGGAGAAATCCACGGGCATCTCCTCGAATGGAGATCTGGGAAGGGATCCCAGGGAGGGATCCCCGGGAGCGGAGTCCCCTCGGCCCCGGCGCCCGCGGAGCATCCGGCGGCTGCTCTCCAGGGTGCTGATGTGCCCCGGCCGTGTCCGGCTACGGGAGAGGGTCAGAGCCCATGGGGGAGGGTTAATCCCCATGGAACAGGATTGGTTCCCACGGAAGAAGGCCAATCCCTACAGGAGAGGTCAAAGCCTGTGGGAGAGGGTTAATCTCCACAGGAGAGGGTCAAAGCCATGGGAAGGGGTTAATCCCCATGGAACAGGATTGATTCCCACAGAAGAAGGCCAATCCCTACAGGAGAGGTCAAAGCCCATGGGAGGGAGTCAAAGCCCATAGGAGAGGGTCAGAGCCCATGGGGGAGGATTAATCCCCATGGAACAGGATTGGTTCCTATGGAAGAAGGCCAATCCCTACAGGAGAGGTCAAAGCCCATAGGAGAGGGTCAGAGCCCATGGGGGAGGGTTAATCCCCATGGAACAGGATTGGTTCCCACGGAAAAAGGTCAGTCCCTACAGGAGAGGTCAAAGCCTGTGGGAGAGGGTTAATCTCCACAGGAGAGGGTCAAAGCCATGGGGTTAATCCCCATGGAACAGGGTTGGTTCCCACAGGAGAGGGTCAAAGCCCACGGGAGAGGGTCAAAGCCCATGGAAGGGGGTCAAAGACCATGGGAAAGGGTCAAAGCCCGTGGGAGGGGGTCAAAGCCCATGGGAGGGGGTCAAAGCTCATGGGAGGGAGTCAAAGCCCATGGGAGAGGATCCAAGCCCATGGGAGAGGGTTTTGTTCCCTCCACTGGAGCCCATCTTGGTTCTGTCCCACACATTGATCCCTTCAAGGCCTGGAGGACCTGCCTGGCTCCAGGGCTTTCTCATTCACCTCAGGGTGAAACACAGAATGACACTTTTGGGGATCTCACACCTGACCCAAACCATGGGAAACTCAAAACTTGTCATGGAAATTTATCAAGTATTTGGAATGTGCTGCTGATGGAGGAACTTCTCTTGGAGTGATGGTGTTGGAGCACTGGAGGCTTTGCTGGCTGGTGGTTGTGGTTGTCTCTGGGAGAAAGAACCTGTGGGGCTCAAGGTTTTTCCCTGGATGAACCACTGGCCACAGGCCAGCATTGCACTTGCCCCTGTCCCAACCTCTGCTGGGCTCCCCATCTATTGGAAAAGCCTCTGTATTGTGAGTATTCCAAATAAAACTGATGGTTTACACAACACAGCATAAAATCTTTATGGAGAAAATTTAATTCCATTCTTTATTCAGCAAGATTCATTGTGAATATTAGACAGTGGGAGAGAGTGGATGAACAGAGTGGGAAAACAGTTTTCTTCTGGATGGTTCATTCCCTGCACAAACCAAAACCAGCAAGAGAAAAGGATCTTCCTTCTTGTCTGCTCCCATCTCATCCTTCTTGAATACTGATTCCCACAGTAGATTCCACAATTTTATCACAATCACATTGGAAAGGAGCTCTTTGGATCAGCAATCCCAGTGTTTAATGTGGAGAAGTGTTGAGTTCTCCATCTCTCTACTCAGGGAGGGCATGGGGTAAGGAGCCTTTCAGGGAATGGCTGCTCAGGAGCACAGATTCCAGATTTCATCCATTTTCATGGAAAGATGAGTTAAGAGCCAAATCTCAATGAGCTTCCCCTCCTCTCACAGGAGGGAAACAGGAGTTTCCCAATGGGAGTCACAGTGAATGTGCCCAAGTCACTTCCCAGAGAAGCCTGGGCCACCTGCTGGGCCAGCTCAGAACAGGTGTCTGGGAAAGTCTGGGAAAGGCAGAAGGGATGGTGTGGGACAGCCCTGGGATGGGTAGGGATCCCCCTCAGGGTGTAGAACTGATGTAGGATTCCTCACCTGCCTCCCCTTCAGAAAAGACACCCAGATCTCAAGGGTCCTCAAACCACCTCAAACCATTGTACACAGAGGAGTGGCAAACACTGCCCACGGGTTGGAGAAATGGGAGGCTTTCACTGGGAAGGAAAAGAATCCCTCTCTGCTGGAGAGTTCTGCAGGCAGGGCTGTTTGCAGCAAGGAGAGATTTCTCCTGTGCCTGTGGGACTGCCTGACCCTGATCCCAAAAGTACCCAGAGGAGCGCTGAGAAAAGCACAGGCTCTGCAGCTGAGCTTCCTCCTCTTCCCAGCCTGAGCAGTCAGGCATTCTGCACAGAAAAGTTTGGAATCCAGCTGTAAGAAATGCACAGGCAGTGTTCCTTCTGGAGAACTGGATGATACTCCAGGATTCTCAGAGATTTCCATGGGAATTTTTTTATTCTTATGGTGGCCTTTCAGCTCCTCAGCCAGCACCAATGAGGAGTTGAAGTTTACTCCATGTGTTAACCCAGACGCCTCCTGCCTCATGGGTTCCTTTGGAATTATCTAGTAGAAGGGTGGGAACTTGCCTGTCCTTGGGAATCAGTAGGAAAGCACCAATGAAGAAAGGAATCGCAGCTTCACCAGGATGAACCCTCACCAAGCCCCCATGCTGTCCCCTCACAGGCTGCAGGCCAGCTGGGAGCTGTCTGACAGGTTCTCCAGGTTGTCCACCAGAGTGATGATGGCTTCTATTTTTTCTTCTGGAAGCACATGGGAGGCGTTGGATCGAAACTTCTTCAGGAGCGACTCTTTGCTCAGGGGCTTCCTCCAGTGCCCATAGAAAGTGTCACATTTGCCCGTCAGGACGTCCCCGCTGTGCAGGAGCAGGGCCACCTCTCCGTACATCTTGTCAAAGTTGGCCACGTTGTCTTCAGGGTGCTCCACCACCACCTTGTCCAGCAGGTCCCTGAGCTCCTGCCGGTGGATGCTGCTCTCGGAGAAGGAGCCCAGGCCCACCTCGCCGTCCAGCAGGGCGGCACAGGCATTGAACTGGAAGGAGTGCCTTGCCTGGTGCTCCGAGCTGGGGAAAGGCCGGTTGATGTACTTGGACACCGGGATCTTCAGCATAATGGTGCGGATCAGAGATGGCGAGAAGGAGCCCGCGTAGTTGATGAAGAGGTTCCGGACGGACAAGGCAGCATCCACCACCCAGTGCATGCCCAGGTGGGCTGGGAATCGCTTGAAGGCAATGTCCTGCTTTTCCAGGAGGAACTCGTGGTGCTCGCCAGGTGCGGACAGCGGCTTGGGCTGGTAGATGCTGTAGAAGGCGCTGAACCCCGAGCAGCCCGGGATGTCATCCAGGATCAGGGGGTTGGCCTCCATCCCTCGGCCCGCCAGCAGAGCAGCCTCCAGGCCCAGGCGGGTGGCATTGCCCACGTGCAGAGGCTTGGCCTGGGTGGCGGCGTTGGCCATGGGCGCCCCGGCCAGCGAGGCGGCGATGCCCAGGGCGTGGCAGCACTGGGCCGAGCTGAGGGACAGCAGCTTGGCCGTGGCTGCAGCACTGCCCAGGGTGCCCACCACCGAGGGAGGGTGGAACCTGCAGGGGGATGGCAGGAATGAGCAGCCCTGGCTGCCTGGCACAGGGAACACCACAGGACCCCTCCCATGGAAATATTAATGGGAAGTGAGGGGCCCATCAGCCAGTGGAACTCTCTCATGGCTTTGGTGCAGGTGGGATTCACCTGACTCAGAACTTAACCATACATTTTAACTAATAAATTAACTTTAAACTTAGAGTTTTACTGCATTTTAATTTAACTCTAAATTTAGAGTTAATGAACATAAATTTAGTCTAAAAATGGAGTTTTTCCTTGAAACCTCCTCAGAAACACCAGGGTGAGCTCAGCATCTCCAAAGAGCAATTTGAACTTTCTCCAGGACATGCCATGGTTTGTGTCCACCCAGCGAAACTTTCT